CAGGCTGCCAGAGGGATGTCTGATTGCCATCTTAGGCCCAATCCCCCAGGCAGCGGGGCTAAGCCAGCAAGTGGTCATCCCCTGAGGGATCCCAGACTACGAGAGGGCACAGGCCAGGCTGAGGGACACCTTACCCCCGAGTGCACAAATTTTTGTGCACCGGGCCTCTAGTAATAAATAAAGCCCATAACAATAATCTGTATTATTTATGAAAAAAATATTTAATAAAAATAAACAAGAAACACAGCTTATGATTACTTCTGGGAAAGGAACAAGGAGAATCTGGGAATGCCAGGGAAGGGTACAGTATCAGGGAATACATAGATATTTGTCATATTATTTTATGTAAGTTTGAAATACTTTATAATTTTTTAAAATACATCTTTTTACAAAAGTTTTCCATTAAAATATTTCATCAATCATGACAAGGTCCCACCCCACATACAAATTTCTTCATAAAACTACAAATGGAGTTTGCCTCCCTTCATCTTTTATTAAGCATCTTTTTAAACCACATCCTCTTCTACAGGAAAGGTAGCAAGAATTGAATAAACATGCCATGAAGATCAAGAAAGATCCAAGTGGCATAAAATGAAAAGAGGTTTACAAAGGTTAGTCAAATGCTCAAAAAACATTATAGTATTGAGTGAGAAGCCAAAGGTGTCACTGTCAAAATAAATAAAAAATGTCTGGAAAAAGTTTCTATTTAGATTTTAATTTGGTATTACAAGGAGAATATGATATAGGGCATATGACAATAATATGATTTATTACCAAGGCTACAATAAATATCAGTGTTTTTCTCTGGAAGTGAAAATTTTAATTACTAGTATCCCAAGAAGCTCCCACAGCAACATACCTGGAGAAGGAGCCTTTCAAAAGCCAGAAAGTTGTCCCACTTGGCAGTCTGCGGGTGCTTCAGAGTTTGAACCGTGGCCAGCCCAAGCTGCAGGAGTCCACAGTGACTCACTAGAGCTTTGAGGTTGTTCTTGAAGAGATGAATATAGGACGTGAGCTGCGCCGGAGTGACTCTCCCTGGAGAAACATAATAATTTATCAGTGAGCCCTCTTCTGGGAGTGGTAAAAATAATGAGAAGAGTGCCATTCATAACATTAACTGCCTTATATTGGCACAGAGCTTCAGAATTGACTGCAAGCTTTGCTAAGCTGTTATGATTCTTACAACAACATGGTGACAACAGTGAAATTGAAATTATTACCTGCATTTGCGAATGAGGAAACAGATGTTAGGTGATCTGGATTGCTAGTAGAATTCATTTTCTAATTCTGCAATACCTCGTAAATAAGTTCTCAAATAAAGTCACACAAATAAATTGTTAAGCTCAACATGGAGTACTTCTCCAAGACATACGACTTAGCAATCTAAGAGGCCAAAAGGCAAAATTTCTAATTATGTGTGTATGTGTAGAAAATAAAAGACAAAATTTGTTATGACTATAGCTAAAACTTTATCACTGGTATCAGTGGGTTATGATAATAAAACAGTAAAAGCTGACTATGTATGAAAAACCAGGGTGGCAAAAACACCAGAAGGTAAGATACCAGAAGACAGAGTTTGGTATGGTTGACATAGCACATTGCTACAATGATCATCTAGGTTTGGAACACGAAACCCACATCCGCTACAATGATCATCTAGGTTTGGAACACGAAAACCCACATCTTAAAAAACTATGATGAGCCGAAACCGGTTTGGCTCAGTGGATAGAGTGTCGGCCTGCGGACTGAAAGGTCCCAGGTTCGATTCCGGTCAAGGGCATGTACCTGGGTTGCGCGCACTTCCCCAGTGGGGGATGAGCAGGAGGCAGCTGATCGATGTTTCTCTCTCATCGATGTTTCTAACTCTCTATCTCTATCTCTCTCCTTTCCTCTCTGTAAAAAATAAATAAAATATATTAAAAAAAAAAAATTAAAAAACTATGATGAGCTTGTACAAAAACAAATAAAGCGCCTGTTGAAGATTCACTCCTTCAGAGCCTCTAAGTTCCACTTTTTCTATAGCAGTCCTTCGACTGAGTCACTTCCCATTCTCCAATCCATCAAATTCAATTCCTGCCATTAACCAGTGCTAAGCACAAAACTCCTAAACACCACATATTCCTCCTGTTGGGCAAGGAAAAGGCAACAGGGCCAAACACTGATACAAGTCAAGTAAGTCTTTCCTACACATCTTACTCATGCCATTTGTTGGTAGCTCTCAGATGCCCGAAATCCAAGTTTGTTTGTTATATCGAGGTTTGTTAATACTTGGCAATGAAACCACCTGTCTTGATTTAGCACTTCACAGTTTACACAGTACAATCATGCCCTCTTTCGATTCTCATAGCAACTCTATGAGGTAGCAAACACGGCATGTGCTGCATCACTTAGCCCACCTGTGGCACTGTGGGTTCATTGCCTTACACAGTGCAAAATGGCAGGTATCACTTAATAAATGGTTTTTCTACTCATGATACACAATATACAAAGACCTTGACAGAAGAAATTTATAAGCCTGAGACATACTCTTTCTTTTCATTACATTTTCTAAGAGATTAAGAATTTTGAAGCTCCTTCTTACCAGTTTATTAGGGTCAGCATCTAAAGAATAATAATAGTAGAAATGATATGTAGGAAGTTGAGTCCCACTAGTTTCTTTGCTCCCTCCATAAAGCATGAGTTCATTCCTGATTCTCAATGCAAGTTAATGATTTGCTCGCTTAATTATAATAGAGAACAGCCTCATGAATTCTGGTTTTGAGTCAGGTTTATTAAGGTATAATTTTTCACACAAAATTGGTTCAAATTGAAAGATCATGCAGAGTTCCATTTCTTTATACACTGTACTGCAGGTAATGGCAGTGTGGTTCCTGGACACACAGAGTTTTGCCTATTAAGAGAGAGATTCATAAAATAATTATAAAAATAAGTATTTAATCATTATTGTGATAAATACTGCTAAGGAAAAATTCAAAATGTCTTGAAAGTGTGAATGGCTGTCTAACACAAAACCACCTACCTCTCCAATGCTATCTCCTCACCTGAAGGAGCAAGAATTAGGCTCAGAATACATGCAGTCTATTGATAGAATAATTCTCTATGAATTAGAGAGGCTGCAAGAAATGGAAATCATCAGAGACAGTCATGAAAGGGTCTGTTTAGATTTCCACTGTAATAATCATATTTAAAGTTAAGAATGTCTTTGATTCAAAAATATAGTTGAACTTTTTATCTAGTTAGCAATTCCTAGCTCAGACTCAGACCCAGTCACCATATTTACCTAATGCCACCTTCCCAAAGGAGCAAATGGGTATCTTCTATATATATAAAAGCCGAAGCGACTGTTACAACCGGTCAACCGAACAACCAGTTGACTGGTCACTATGATGCATACTGACCACCAGGTGGCAGACACTCACGCAGGAGATGCCCCCTTATGGTCAGTGCACTCCCACAGCCAACCTCCCGCAGTCCCTGCCCCCGGCTGGCCGGCCCCCAACCTCCTGCAGTCCCTCCCCGCCAACTGGGCAAGATGGCCCTGATGGCCCTAATCACCCCAATCACCAGCCAGCCCGAGAGACCCCACCCATGCACAAATTCATGCACCAGGCCTCTATTATTTCATAAAGGAAATGTCAATAGAACACTACATTGTGAATTTAGCAATTATGCACCTTGCTATAGTCTGTTCCCCTCTCTATATCCCTTTCTTACACACATAAGCCACTAACACTTTATAAGATACATCATTAAAGCAAAATTTTTGGTAAAAATACATAACGTGCTAATTATAATTTAGTAAATGAGTGCCACACAAAAAAGTTTTAAAATATAGGCTAGTAAAATAAAGGCTAGTAACATTTTCAAAATCTTGAACTTAATCACAACCTTATACAAAACATGTTGAAATCAACTCACTGACTACCAAAAATGCTATCGTGAGATTAACGACTTGAGAAAGCGCCTCAGTCTGTGTCAACTAAAACAGCAAGCAACTAGAACCAGGTGCTGAAAAAGCCATAGACAGAACATTTATTCATACCTCACATTACCAAAAAAAACAAAAAACTTGCCAGGCAGATTTACATGGTGATTTTAAAATGTCAACTCAGAAGGCTTTGCAAAATGTTTCTTAAAACCATAGAAACAAGGGTTATTTCATATCAAGACTGCATAACATACAGCAACTTTTTGAAAACTGACAATTTGAAATTTGAAAAACGGTCTTCAAGTAAGAAAAGCTATTAGGCTTTTTTTTTTTCTTTTTGATAGAATTTCTAAGAAAGAGAAACAGGTTTCTGATTTCAACTTAGCTAGGAAAAAAACACAAAACTTTAGTAACCACCAATTATATATATATATTTTAAACCTCTTATTAAAATATAATTATCTTTTGGGGAAAAGGGGACAGATTTGGAAAACAAAATGATTTAATATAGTCTGTGATTCTTTAAAAATTAAATGTAATTGAATTCAAATGCATATTGGAGCCTATTTTTCTACTTACTACATATACTCAATAAATTATAACTATCAACTTGTTTTGTGACTTGTTAAAATATATTTAAAGTATCTACACATAGATGGTTCTTTGTTGATAGTCTTAAAGAGTATTCAGTGCCAGGTTTAATTGTAAAACTGTGTTTTAATGGTAAAACATAACCACCATCAGAAATTTTGTCTAAAATAGCATACTTAGTACTCCATGTTATTTTTTAAAAAAACGCTTACTATAAGAAATAATATTTTCATTGCATGTATTTATTAATTTTCTTGAAAACATGAAGGAAAACCCAATGGGTGAAATTTGAATAAGCAAACATGTATTTTAAGACGTGCATTCCCAGAAAACAGCATTTCGTTATCTCCTTTTCAACCATTTATCAAATATAATAAAGGCAAAGTACATTAAAATATTTAAATGGAATGTATTCTGCTAAAACTCTAGTTTATAAATATTAACTCACACACAATTGGCATCTGGGAATAATTTCAGTATTACACAAAAGTCACAGCTATTCAGAAATTTCAGAAATTTTGTCTAAAATAGCATACTTAGTACTCCATGTTATTTTTTAAAAAAACGCTTACTATAAGAAATAATATTTTCATTGCATGTATTTATTAATTTTCTTGAAAACATGAAGGAAAACCCAATGGGTGAAATTTGAATAAGCAAACATGTATTTTAAGACGTGCATTCCCAGAAAACAGCATTTCGTTATCTCCTTTTCAACCATTTATCAAATATAATAAAGGCAAAGTACATTAAAATATTTAAATGGAATGTATTCTGCTAAAACTCTAGTTTATAAATATTAACTCACACACAATTGGCATCTGGGAATAATTTCAGTATTACACAAAAGTCACAGCTATCCATTTGTTATTTTTTTCTCATTACTTTAACATTTCATGTCACCAAGTACCAGCCGAGGATCTCAAAGTAAAGAACACAGCTAAATACTACAACCCACAAGAGGCACCGGCTGAAGTAACTTTCTCAGAAAAGGTGTGCAGAAAGCAAAGTTCTTTTATGTATGAAAAGGCTTTTTCTTGCCCTCATAGTTTATCTGGGTCTAGAATTCTTGGTTAAAAGACCTTTCTTCATTACCTTCTGGTTTTCGGGGCTGCTGCAGAGGAATGGGTGCTACTCTCATTCTTGTTCCTTTGTAGTTGAGCTTCCTTTTTCCATCTTGGGGCTCTTAGGATCTTCTCATTTTCTTGTACTCAGGATTCACAGTTATTATGTCTAGTTAGAGGGTTTTTAACTCTTTCTACTTATTTTTCAGTAAGGCTACTCAACTTGATTCTGCTTTCTTCACATCTGGGAAAGTATCACATTCTTCCTTTGCTAATTTCCTATTCTTTGCTTTCTCTCTTTAATCTTTTCTATCTTTTCAATGTCTTATTCTTTCTACATTTTAGGAAACTTCTTGATTTACATTTAAACTTTGGCTGAATTTTTATTTTCACAACAATAGCCTTATTTCCAAGAGCCCTTTTTAAAATAGCAGCTTTACTGAGATATAATG